CCGATAGAGGTGTCAGGCGGCAGGGCCCAGGAGGGGTGGGGGCTTGGAGGGCTGGCCAAAAGCGAGGCGTGGGAGGGGTCCAGTGGGCTAGAGAGGGCTGGAGGGGTCGGAGGGGGCTAGAGGGGCCGGAGGGGCTGTGCGGATGGAGGGGTCTGGAGGGCTCGGGGGGCTTGGAGGACATGAAATGTGAAGTGAAAGTGAAAGTGAAACCGATTCGCTGTTTCCATGTGAAATCACGAACCCTGGCGCCCCCTGCGCGGCCCTGGCCAGTGGCCTGCGGCTGGCCGCGCTAGCCGCTAGCTGCCGCCTGCGGCGCCCGGGTCGCGGGTGTGCGGGTGGGGCTGGGGGGGCTCTGGGGGAGCGCGGGGGCCCTTGCTAGAGAGGGTATCCATGCGGGGGGGAGATGGAGGGTCCACTGAGGTACTGTAAGCCGGCAAGCGCGAGCATGGGTCGTCGGTCGGAGTTGGCCCCGAGGTCAGTCGTCGAGTCGGCTACGACGAAGACGCTGGAGCTTCGTCCGACTCGACTAGGTCCAGCCCTGGGTGGCGCAAGATCTGACGTTCTGTGACAATCGTCAGATCCGTGTTTTTCTCGTCTTGCGGTACATCTCTCCGCTCGCTACCCACCTCACGCTCCGCCGTCCGGCCATGGATGGTTCGATGGAGCTCGCGCGAGCTCCATCGAACCATCCAACTCCGGTCACCGGGTCTGAACGCGCTCAGCCTCAGGAGGTACCAAACCGCGCGAATTCTGCACGCCTCGCTGCACCGCTCCACCGCTGGCTTGACTGAATCAGGCAGCAGCAGGCTGCTGCTGGTGCTGCTGCCACAGCAGCAGTCTGCTGCGGCCCTAATACGCAAGTTAATGATACTGCCGGGGGCATACGAGCCGCCACAGCCGGTGTGCGGCCGTGCACTGCCACCTGCCCGCGCTACGCACAATGTGCGCTCGCATTGGATGAGCCCTGCTGATGGACCTGCGTCGCCTAGCTGACAGTCAGCTGCACGAGAGCAATGCCGCAGGCGGCGGCCGTGGCATATACACTGCGAGCACACTCGGTGCAGCTGCGAGGTGCAGCGGAAGAGCACGTCGTTCCTGCCTCTGATGCCACTCTCGCGGCTTGCAGCGCGTCACTCGCGCATGCTCTCCAGGAGCTATGGCGGGCGCGTGGGGTGTGGGGCTGTGTATATAGAGCCTGTGTTTGGCCGGCGTTCTGACCCGTTTACTATCAGTATCATGCCCGGGCCACAAAAAATCGCACAGAGTGATTCTGAGATCAGGTTGGGCGACTGGCAGACATTTCAAAAATTTGGCGCCGCAGAGTGCACCAAGCGTGGGCCGCGGGCCAGCGTCAGAGAACGGAGATAGCAGATTCCTTACAGCAGCTAGGTCACGCTCCTCCCAACGCACATCGGGGTCGGTGGTGTAGCACCACGCCGTGGGCTCACTGCGGTCTGGGTTGCGGCAAAAGTTGTGCTCCTCGATTCCAGCCGCAGGGTACACCTCCTCTGTCACGTGCGTGTGATTGTGCGGCACATGCTCGCTCCACAGCTGACAGGTCAGCCCGCTCTTGGTGATGCTCACGTTGCCACGGTAGTCGCATGCGTCGGCGGCGCTGCCGAGCAGACGGCAGTTGCTGACAGTGGTTGACGCCGGGCAGGGCGGCGGCGGGTCTCCAAGCGCTCGCATGTGGCCGGGAACGTAGGTACGAGGCTGCCGCCTTCGTGGCCAAACTTTTACTGCGTTGAGATTTCTTGGGGCGTCGCGAGCGACTGAATTGGCCGCTGTTTGTTGTGAACGGCTGGTAGCATGGGGTGGCGGCGGCGGCATGGGCGATGGTGGCGATGGTGCGGGTGGCGATGGGAGAGGGCCGCCGCGGGCCTCCCCCAGCCCCGCGGGCGCCGCGTTCTTTTGACGGGCAACGTTCGAAGGCTTGGCCATGCACCCGAGCCAGCGAGTGACCGCCTCCACTGGACGGCCGACTACCAGAACCTTGGAGTTCGCTAAGAGCTCGTATTAGACTTCCCGAAAGCCGGCACAGAATGCGGTTTCCCAGCGCTGCCGCCGCCCTGCTGTCGCTGCTGCCCGCGCGGCGGCGATGCGCGAGTGGGCGGATCACACGTGGCGCAAGCTGCGCGGCTTCAACGTGAGCCTGAGGGCGGGCAACCGCTCTGCGCCCGCCGTCCCTTTCGAGGAGAAGCTGCGCCGCGTCATGGCCGACATGCGCAGCTTCGGCGAGGCGGCGCTGCCCAGCCGCGTGCGCAAGCTGCCCGTCTTCTATCTCTTTGCCGGCGCTGACGTGATCACCGCGCGCGGCTTCTTCCCGCACGCGCCGCGCGTGCTGCTCACCTCGGGCCTACCGTTTGGCGATGTGCCGCCGCCCCTTCTCCGACCGAACCGCGCGGCCCTTGCCGCGCGTTGCACGCGTCCACGGCCCTCGCGTCGCGCTCGTGCGCAGGTGGGCTGCTTCCTGCACGCGCCGTGCGCCACCTCGATGCGCAGGGCGGCGCTCGCCGCACTCGACAATTGGCAGTGGCACGGCTTCGCGTGGTCGGAGGAGAAGCACCTCGACCGCGTGCTCGTCACCGAGCCGCGCCTGCTCAACGAGCACAACGCCACCTTCGGCGTCGCGCCGCTCATCCTCACGTGCTTGCACGCCTTCGGCGCGACGCTCGAGGCGATCGACCGCCGGCCGGGCACCAACCTGGTGACGCTGGCGCTGAGCGACGGCACGCGGGTGAGCTACCAGGCGCTCGGGCTCGGCTGGCGGCCGTTGGACGAGGACCTGGCGGACCTCGACCGGATGCTCGAGCCATCGCCGCCGCCGGTGCGCGCGCCCGCTTCGCTCTACGCGCCGCCGCCGCCGGCGGCGGCGGCCTTTGTGACGGTGATCAAGGCCGCCGCGCTCGGCTGGGCCTACCTCCGCCAGCGCGCATATCTGCGCCACGCTTCAGGAGGAGCTCGACAATCTGCGCGTGCCCGTTCCGTGCGGCGAACATCAGCAGGGTGCATGGAATCTTACCGCCGCCGCCCTCACCTTCAGCATCGAAGAGAGTGTCGGCCTTCCCGCCTTCATTCAGCCACGATCGCACTGTTCCCAAGCGGCCGTCTTTCACCGCCTTGAGGACGTTCTTCGGGAATTCACCACCCGGCGCGCTGTCAGCAGACGGCGGCGACGGCGGCGTGCGGCGCGCGGCGTTGGCGCGGGAGCGCGAGGCGGGCATGAGGGTATCTCCCACCACTTTTTGTCTGTGTGGAGAAATTTCCCTTCGTCCTTACCTCAACCCCGTGGTGGTGTGCCTATCCCTGTGTGGTGGCGGCGTGCCGTTCTCCCATCCCTCCCTTGGGTTGCCTGTTTTCTTTCTTTCTTTCTTTCTGGTGGTGTGCCTATCGGGCCGCCGTCCGGCTCGCCCTCGCGCGCGGCGGCTGTCGTTGGCCGGGACGCTGCCGCCGGGACGCTGTCGGTGGGCGTCCTTCCCCGCGGGCCGCGCTCACGCGGCGGGCACCGCGTCGGGCTTCATCGCCGTGCGCAGGCGCGTGCACGCCTCCTCGCACGCCTCGCGCGGCGCAAACGCGGAGAGGCGGAGGAAGCCCTCGCCGCCGGGGCCGAACCCGGCGCCCGGGATGGTCACGACCTGCGCCTCCTCGAGAATCTTGGAGAACATGTCCCACGAGGGCTTGCCCTCGAGGTCGACAAAGACGTACGGCGCGTCCGTCCCGCCGTGCACCTTG